AGGCTGTTACAAGCCTGGAAGAGTCGTTGGTCGACCGAGTAATGGCGTCCAACGGCTTCATATCTTGATTAGTCTTGAAGTCGGCCATTAAGGGCCTTCAAGTCGGTAGAGGAGGAGCCGCTATTTAAAGGCTCCTCCACTCTTGTAAAAGGACAGACGATTGAATACCCGGAGAGGGGAGAATACCAAAGAATTTCCGAGCACTAGCATTATTTCCAATATAGGCATACATTTTTATTGAAAGGTGTATCCTCCAGCCGAAGGTTGTGTTGGACCTCCTTGGGCCTGAAAACCCAAAAACCATCACTGGCGCCGTCTGTGGGGATCGAAACTAAGAGTCACGTGTCCTCCTGTGTGAGGCGAGTCCAAGAAACGATAATTAGAATCTCAGTCGAATTAGAAAAGCTCCTAACATGGCAGGAAGTGAGGAACAATCAAGCCGTCACGAAAATGGACGGGAGGCAGACTTGAGAAGCCAGCTGAATCGGGGAAACACCCGGAGCCGGGAAAACGAGACAACACCGCCGCCGACACCACCGATAAACCAACAGTTGCCCCAGGTGCAGCTCACCCCAGAGCAGCTACGAGCAATCGGGCGTGCCTGCGCCGAAGCAAGCCGAGGAGTGAGAGAACAGTCCGTCACTCGCCAGCCACAACGCGATTCGCAGCCGCCTCATAGGCCCGACAACCGGCAACAGAACCGACGGGGCGAAAGCCAACCGGTACAGTCCATTCATTCTAGGCTGGGTCCCAGTGTCGGGCGGCGGTCGGCAAGAGAACGACTGGGTCGGAAGGAACCCAGTCGTGCCCGTTAGCTGCTCGCGATCGGCAAGCTGCACGAGAGAAGAACCGTACCAAAAGAGCCAGGACTGAGACTCGCCGCGTGGAGCAACCCCTCCACAACCATGACCAACCGGCCGAGTCTGAAGTCGGCGAGAGCACGGAATCCACAGGAAATCGCACCCGGGAGAGGGTTGAAGTGGCAAACTTAGTCCAAGAAGTGCAAAATCTGAGAGAACAGATGGAGGGAAAAACCAAATCCCCAGGACGTACGTTATTAACCGCCTTACCATTCTCGGACGAGGTCATGGCCTTTAAGATACCAGGTGATTTCAAGTTCCCGGAGCAGGCCACGTTCGATGGGGCCGGCGATCCCCGAGAGCATTTGCTAAGTTATCAGGCTAAGATGCAGGTTTTGGGGGTGCGAGATCCGGTCATGTGCCGCGCTTTCTTACCCACGTTGAAAGGATCAGCACAAAGGTGGCTAGTGGCGCAGCCCTCGGGGTCGATTCACAGCTTTGAAGAGCTGGCGGACCGCTTCATGAGCCACTATGCCGCTAATATCAAACCACAAAAGGACCTAACACACCTGGGCGACATCCATCAGGATGAGGGCGAGTCCTTGAAAACTTATTTGGCCCGCTGGCAGAAAGAAATCCAGTCCATAGAGGAGGTCGAGGACTAGACAGCGCTCACCTTCTTCATCAAGTCCTTGCGGTCCGGCCAGCTATACCGAGACCTAAGGGACAATAGCCCGGCTACCTACGCAGAAGCCATTCATATGGCCAACACAGAGCAGGCTATGAAGCATAAGCGGCAGCGCGAAGTCGGCGGATCCGCCAGCGGGAAGAGGACGCGAGCTGAAACCAAGGAAAGGCGCCCGGACGTAACTCGGCGACCCGAAGTCAGACGATCATAAGACAGACCCGTCGTCCACGCCTATCGGCCGGCTCCCGAATGGCCGGTCCACGAGATACAAGCGGTTGCCCTGCCTCCGCCTCCGCCGATCGACGATCGCGCGACGAACGAAGAGACCGGTAAGACCTCTAAGTACTGTCGTTATCACAAATCTTATACCCACAGCACGGAGGAATGCTTCTACCTGAAGAAGATCATGGAGGGTATTATTCAGCAAGGAACCCCGCCTCCTAATCAGTGGAGGCGGAGATCGGTCAATCGAGGGGATGAGGATCCCGCCGCCGTTGCCGAAAACAGTCGAAGCAAGCAGCCAGCTCCCGAAGAAGATGAGGCTCAGTGGCGCCAGAAGCCGGTTATCAACATGATAGTCGGCGGGCCGGAAAGTGGTGACTCAGTGAACACCAGAAAAGCCTGGGCCCGACAGTTGTACGTCGGGACGGTGTACGGGCGCGAGGAAAACTCTAAAAAGGTGTGCCGAGAGCCCATAGCGTTCACCGACAGAGACTTACCAGCCGGAGAGATACCGCATCGAGATGTGTTGGTTATAGCCATGGACATCAGTGGCGTTGTCGTTCGACGAATCCTGGTAGACACCGGGAGCAGCGTCAATGTGCTATACCTAGAAACCTTCATCAAAATGGGGCTGACTCGAGAACAGCTGAATCCTGTCAAAACTCCCCTCGCCAGTTTCACAGGGGACTCGGTGGAGGCGGAAGGGTCGATCACACTTCCAGTTGAGATTGGCAGTTATCCAGATGTACAGAAACTCAGCATGAAGTTCATTGTGGTAAACTTGACATGTTCGCATAACGCTATACTCGGCCGACCGGGTGTCGAGGATCTAGGAGCTCTGATTTCAATCGAGCATCTTTGCTTGAAATTCCGCACGCCAAACGGGATAGGTACGGTGCGCTGTGACCGTAAAGTCGCCCGCGACTGTTATCTACAGGCATGCAGAGGGATGGGCAAACGCGAGATGCAGGTCCATGAGATCACCGAGAGGCCCCCAAAAAAGACGATAATACTTCGCCCGGAGCCTGCCGTCGAGTTGGAGGAAGTCGAGATCGACCCCACACAGCCGGACCGACGGGTCCGAATTGGAGTCGGCCTCCCCGAGACAGTAAAGGAAGAAATTGTAAAGGTGCTCCGGGAACACCGGAGGGTTTTCGCCTGGGGCTCGGAGGACATGCCTGGCGTCGACCGATCGATCATATCGCACAGACTCGCCATGGATCCCGAGCATCGACCAGTCATACAGAAGAAGCGATACATGGCCAGCGACCGAAGAGAATTTGTGAAGAAGGAAGTGAGCACGCTACTAGCAGCCGGGCACGTCCGCGAGGTTAAGTACCCGGAGTGGTTGGCGAATGTGGTCCTTGTACCCAAGCCCCCGGCGTGGCGGATGTGCGTGGACTACACGGACCTTAATAAGGCCTGCCCAAAAGACCCGTTTCCCTTACCTCGGATCGATCAACTGGTCGACGAGACGGCGGGATCGACACTGTTGAGCTTTATGGACGCCTTTAGGGGGTACCATCAGATATTTATGCACTCGGCGGACGAAGAAAAGACCGCGTTTCTGACGCCGGACGGAGTTTATTGTTACCGAGTTATGCCCTTCGGGCTCAAGAACGCCGGAGCCACATATACCCGAATGGTGGCCCGATTATTCCAGCACCTGCTGGGAAAATCGATGGCCGCGTACGTCGATGACATGCTCGTCAAGAGCCGAGAGGAGAGCAAACACGCAGAAGATTTGGCCGACTGTTTTAAAGTGATGATAAAGTACAACCTCCGGCTGAACCCTAAGAAATGCACGTTCGCCGTGCAAGGTGGAAAGTTCCTGGGCTACATGGTCACCAAGCGAGGTATCGAGCCTAATCCTGAGAAAGTACAGGCCATCGTCGACACGCAGCCTCCCAGCACTGTAAAAGACCTGCAACGGCTGACCGGCCGACTGGCCGCCCTGAGCCGCTTCCTGAGCAAGGCGGCGGATAAGACCGTGCCTTTCTTCGAAGCCATGAAGAAGAAGGAAGGATTCGCTTGGACCCCTGAGTGCCAGCAGTCGTTTGAGGAATTGAAACAATACCTCTCGACACCCCCGGTATTGTCTACCCCCCAGGCGGGCGAGGCTTTATTTCTGTACTTAGCCGCCTCCTGCAAGGCGGTAAGTTCGGTGTTGGTCCGAGAGGCAGAACGAGTCCAGCACCCGGTCTATTACGTAAGCCGCTCCCTGAAGGCTGCCGAGTCAAGGTATACCACCCTGGAAAAGATTGTATATGCGTTTTACGAGTACTGACGGACCAACCGCTCGGGAGCATTTTGCGAAACCCTTCGTCGTCCGGCCGCCTGGTAAAATGGGCCGTAGAGCTAACTCAGTATGGGATTGAGTACCAGCCCCGGCCTTCCATAAAAGGGCAAGCCTTGGCCGACTTCTTGGTCGAATGCACGACGAGTGAGAAAGAGAAGGAACACGCCACGGAGAATTGCTTAGGCGAGTGGTGGGAAATGCACGCGGACGGAGCATCAAGTCGACATCACTGTGGAGGTGGTGTTGTGCTTATCACTCCCGAAGGATTCCGACTGTATTATGCCTTGAGCTACCTGTTCCAAGCCTCCAACAACGAGGCCGAGTACGAAGCTGTGTTAAACGGCCTCCGACTCGCCAGGGCCTTAGGGGTCGAAAGATAACGAGTCAAGACTGACTCTAGGTTGGTAGTCGGGCAGATCTCAGGCACGTGCGAGGCCAAGAATGCCCGGATGGCTCTATATAGAGAGCGCGCGGTTGAGATGTTAAAAGAGTTTGGAGCCTACGAAATAGAGTATATATCCCGAACGGATAACATAGAAGCTGACATATTGTCCAAGATTGCCTTGGAGGGAGTACCGGACCACCTGGCAAAAATCTGTCAGAAGGAGGAGCTAAGTCGACCAAGCGTTGAAGAAACACCGCTAAGGATCCAGCAAGTGACTGGCGAGGAATGGGAACGAGAGAAAAACCCCGAGATGTTCTGGATAGAGGACATCTGGCGATTCATAGAAAAAGGCGAGTTACCGGAAGATCCGGGAGTCGCCGCAAAGGTTCGACGAAAGGCCCCCTCTTTCCAAATCATTGATGGGCAAAATATATAAACGGTCGTTCTGAGGACCTTTGTTAAGATGTTTGCTCAAGCCCGAGGCCGAGAAAATAATGGATGAAGCCCATAGGGCATCTGTGCCGCGCACCAGGGCGCCCACACGCTCGCTCGGAAGTTAGTCGTCCAAGGATATTATTGGCCAACTATGATGTGGGACTGTATTGAATGGATATCCAAGTGCGGCGTTTGCCAGGCATTCGCAAGAAAGACACTCGGCCAGCTACTTTTTACACGCCGGTCACCACCGCCATCCCATTTGCCAAGTGGGGGATTGATTTGTTGGGGTCATTACCAGTCGCCCCCGGAGGCTTGAAGTTCTGTGTCGTAGCTATCGACTACTTCACCAAGTGGGTCGAGGCGGAACCACTGGCTACCATAACTGAGTACCAATGCCGACGCTTTTTGTGGAAAAGGGTGATTTGCCGCTTCGGCCTGCCCGAGCACATTGTCAGCGACAACGGGCGACAGTTCGATTGTCAGGCATTCGCCGACTTCTGCCGCCGGCACGATATCCGCCACACTAAGGTGTCGGTGGCATACCCACAGGCCAACGGACAAGTCGAGAACGTGAATCGAACGCTAGTGGATGGGATTCCGAAGAAATTGGAAGATATTCGAGGGAATTGGGCTGATGAGCTTGACCGAGTCCTATGGGCTTATCGCACTACCCAACGACGAGCAACTGGAGAGAGTCCATTCTCACTCGCGTACGGATTTGAGGCCAAGGTTCCAATTGAGGTGGTCGAGCCCACTCACCGCGTCCGTACCTATTCAGACACGGAGAACGAAGAGAGTCTTCGAATTGAGAAAAACTTCTTAAAAGAAAAGAGGGAAGTCGCGAGTGCGCGAATGGCTGAATACCAACAAGCGGTAAAAAGATATCGCGATCGGAGGATTCGTCTGCGAACCTTCCAGGTCGGCGACCTTGTACTACGGGATCGACAGGCCAGTCAACCCGCAGAGGGGGGCAAGCTTGCGATTAAGTGGGAGGGACCATACCGCAATGGCGCGGTTGTCCAGGCTGGAACCTACAAATTGGAAACCATGGAGGGCAAGCCCGTGGACCGGATTTGGAACGTCATTCACCTAAAGAAGTTCTATCAATAGAAAGGGACAGAACATGTATGGGCCCAAGGGTCCTGAGAGACTTGAATAAAAAGTACAAGTTACAGTTAATCACTCCCCGGATTCGGCGAGAAAAAGTTAGGAAACAAGGGCCCAGACCCTTAGTCGTTTCCGTGAAAAAGCCAAGAGGAGTCGCCTCGATTGAGGGACTCGGCGAGTATATAAAGAAACTACGGGGCACTGACCCTAAACGTTTCTGAGAAAGAAAAAGCCTAAGGAGTCACCTCGACTGAGGGACTCGGCGAGAAAAAGTTAGGAAACAAGGGCCCAGACCCTTAGTCGTTTCCGTGAAAAAGCCAAGAGGAGTCGCCTCGATTGAGGGACTCGGCGAGTATATAAAGAAACTACGGGGCACTGACCCTAAACGTTTCTGAGAAAGAAAAAGCCTAAGGAGTCGCCTCGACTGAGGGACTCGGCGAGAAAAAGTTAGGAAACAAGGGCCCAGACCATTAGTCGTTTTCGAGAAAAAGCCAAGAGGAGTCGCCTCGATTGAGGGACTCGGCGAGTATATAAAGAAACTATGGGGCACTGACCCTAAACGTTTCTGAGAAAGAAAAAGCCTAAGGAGTGACCTCGACTGAGGGACTCGGCGAGAAAAAGGGAAAGGAAAGGACACGGAGGAACTCGGAAGCCAAAGGCGACCGAGTGCAAGTGAATGCCGACATAACCCTCGGAGGGGGGGGGGGTTGGTAAATTTGTCGGCCTTCCGGGGCGAGGACTACGGCTGAAGGCCCAAGAAGGTATTGGGCCACTTCCAGGTCCGCCGCATTAACAACGGACGGTGGCCCGGAAGGACGGACGATTGAATCGAACTTGCCTCGCGGCCGTCCGATACCGCCCGGCAGAGCCGCCACCGTCATTAAAGGAGCGGGGCTCATCGGAGTAACCGCCCCCGAAGAAGAGGGGGTCGGAGGAAGAGAAGACATCGATGGAACGTCCGCCGGAAGTTCCATACGACGGGGAGGAGAAGAAGAAGACGAAGAAGAAGAAGAAGAAAAGGGGGAAGTCGCCACCGGGTTATCGACCGAGTAACGACGGGAAGAAGAAGAATGTGAAGAAGAAGACATTACCTAAGTTAGGTGAGAGATCGGAGGAAATGCAGAGTGGCCGGAGAAGCTCGAGTTGAGGTTGAAAGGAAAGACTGGAGAAGAGAATGGAAAGAGAGACGAAGTGGCTATTTAAAGGGGAAGGAATTCCAAAGGACGGCCACGTGTCACCTTCTCGTTGGAGGAAGTGGAGGTGACGGGATGTGAAGAGACACCGCATTTAATGCCTCAAAAGGCGGGGCGACGGTTCAGGCCTAGGGTTAGCTTGCAGACGGCGCGTCTGCCCTAGGCTAGGGTCGGACGTCAGTGACCCGGCCTGCTAAGCCGGAAGCCCATTATAGGCCATGGCCTCTGGGCCCACGAGGTACGAGCTAGAAACTTCTAGAACGACCTGGTAGAACCCGGCCCATCAGATGATATCAGCCAAGTTCACGAAGAGACTCCGGTCGCCAGGTCGGCAAGCAGACTCGGCGACTCCCTCGCCAAGAGGGTCTCGCCGTAGCAAGACTAGGAATCAGTCCCGCAGATCAGAGGTCGGCCGACAAATAATAAGAAAAAGTAGGGTCGGACACAAAAGCACACAGTTTATTTAATAAGTACGAAGATTACAAGGCCCGGAACTCGGCCGATGCAAGTTACAAGAGGAAAACGGGTCAAGGCTTGGCTTCTTTCTCTGTCGACGGGCGAGCAGTCGGAGGGCCTTCCAGGAGGTACTGAGAGCGGAAAGGCAGAGGACTCGGCTTAGACTCAGGCATTTCGTCCAGATACACGGCTGGCTTCCCGTCATCGATCATTTGCAAGGGCCTCTCCAGAGCGTGGCAACACCAAAGAGAGGAGGAGCCTCCCACTTCTCTTCCACCATCGGTTCTGGATCCTCCACCACAGGCTCCATCTCCACATCGATAGGCTCCCTACACATCAGGTCCAGCATGTCTGGAGGCACCACAATGGGGTCTGAAGTCGAGTCGCCCACCAAACGACCTCCATTAGCCAGCCTCTTCTGCCTCAACTGCTCCAGTCGAGCATGTTCCTTGTTGCGAATGGACCAGCGACGATCACCATCCCTGTAACTCATAGCGTCGTGCTTTCGCAAAATGAAGAGTGTTGCGATTTGCATCAACTGAGAAGAGTCTTTATATAGCCTAGTGAAGGCGAATATCTAGGCAATAATCACGGAGGAGATTATAACTGACATAACTGAGCCGGATTAGACGGATGACGCGAATCTCTGTCAGAGATTAGTTCCATCAAATCCGCCCGGGAAGAGCAAGATTCGCACGTCAACACAGAGAAGATTGGATTCACCCGAGATACGGGGAATCTTGCAGGTGTCAGACTGAAAAGAGCCTGGTGACATGACCGACTCCTTGACCAGTCATCCGGATGAGTACGCAACAAAACACGATAAAACATAAGGCAAGGCGAAAATAGCATTTCTTATTATTATAAAAAAGGAGGGTACAAGTAGCAAGGAGCTTATTACAATAAGGAATATGAAAATGCTCTTAAAAAAGATTCCTCCGAACTATGGCCGACTCTGGTACATATGATCACTCGCCGGGCGAGGGAGAGTCGCCCCCAGAGAATCCCCACGGTGGTCCAGGTGGGGATGGACAGAACGAGTCCCAGAAAGCTGGCATGAGTGGTGGCACAATTGGCTCCTCATCATCCGGATACGCCTCCAGGTAGTGGGCGTAATCCTCATCATTCATTAGGCTCATAACTGGCCCATCTAGGTCGTCCAGCGGGATTGAGAAGGTCATTCTGAAAGTAAGTTGCTCTGGAACCGCCACCTCAACGAAAGACCCGTCTTGAGAAGTCACTCGGGCAGTTGTGGGAGTAGGCGGATGGCGTGAAGATGGAGCGACCTCATGTCGAAGAGGAGTCGGCGGCTGAGAAGCTGAAGGAGTAGCGCCAGCAGGAGACCTCTGAGAAGCCAGGCGAGGAGTCTTCTTTTTGTGTTCCCTTTCAGGCCGAGTCCGCTTGGAAGGCAGTGGACGCCAAGGGGACCCAAAATCAATTCGTTTTCCTTTCAGAGGAGAACGACCCATGATGGACTTGTGAAAGAAAGAAAGAAGGGAGGAGGCCATTTATAGGTGCCAAGTCTAGACAGAAGAATCCAAACGGCCCCGTGAGATCCGGAGAGAATGGCTGATGATCCGGACGTTACAAAAGGCTATTCAGGGCGTGGATACGGTGATTGAAGGAGATGGACAGTTGCTACTTTTCCAAACCCAGGCTAGCGTACTGGGTATGAAAAAGTGAGGGACTAGTTGATGGGGTAAGGACCCCGGCCCAAGAGATAGGGGCCCAAAGAAAATGGTTCGAGACAGGAGAAGTGGGCCAGCGTCCGAGGAGCCCGAAGAGCAATTGGGCCGAGTCCTGGAGTCGGCCCAGGCCCAAGCACGGGGCCCGGTTCAGAACTGCTAAAGAGGAGCCCAGTGGGAGCTTAGGCTGAGACGAGGAGTCGACCAAGGCCCAAGCCCAGGGAAAGACTCGGTTCAAGGAACCGTTGAGAGCATTGAAGAGGCTCGTTTAAAAGGGAGCCGTTAGGGCATTGAAAGCAGGACTCGGTCAGGCTGTTACAAGCCTGGAAGAGCCATTGGTCGACCGAGTAATGGCGTCCAACGGCTCCATATCTTGATTAGTCTTGAAGTCGGCCATTAAGGGCCTTCAAGTCGGTAGAGGAGGAGCCGCTATTTAAAGGCTCCTCCACTCTTGTAAAAGGACAGATGATTGAATACCCGGAGAGGGGAGAATACCAAAGAAATTCCGAGCACTAGCATTATTTCCAATATAGGCATACATTTTTATTGAAAGGTGTATCCTCCAGCCGAAGGTTGTGTTGGACCTCCTTGGGCCTGAAAACCCAAAAACCATCAGTCCTTTTCAAAAAATAAATAAATAAAGAATGTAAGAAAATATATGGTGAATGCAAGTGTATGGTAACAACAATGGAAATAGATAACAGAAGTTATAACAGTAGGGGCATTGTTGTCCAAAAAATTATATAGTACAACATTTATAACTTAATGTATAAAAAAAGATAACAAAAAAATGGACATAAATGAAGGATACCAGCCTTCATTCACACTTATTAGATTCTTAGATAAGTGTATAGCTAAAAGGAAATTTATATTATTATTATTATTATTATTATTATTATTATTATTATTATTATTATTATGTAATAATAAAATAAAATTACAATAATACTGATATTAATAATAATATAATAATAATCAAAACAAAACTATAGACAAAATAAAATTAAAAATTTCTTTAAAAAAAAAAAAGAAAAGAAAAAAAGGGGAGCTTGTGGCTCCCCTTTGTAAATGGTGTGCGATCATTTTGATCCCACATCGAAAATGTTTAGAAAGGGGAACTCTTGATCTTCTCTATATAAGGGGAGCAATGTTCTTCTTCCAAACATAATTACTTGCCCATCAATGTCGGCTAGTATTGAGAAGCCAAAAGGCTCTTATATAAAAAGTCTTAATAGCTTCTTATTTTAATTTATTTTTTTATTAATTAATAATTAATTAATTTATTTATTTATTTATTTATTAGGGGGTTTTGGGAAAAGATTAATCTTAATCTTTCCCCAAAATGTATATTTTTTTTTTTTGTTTTTAGCAGTTTGGAGTAAATTGCGGAGTTATTAAATAATATTTTTTGTGTTTTGATTAAAAACAAAAAGTTAAAATGGTGAATTTGTCAATAATCAAACATGGTCATTATCTAATAATTAATATGACAATTAATAAATTAATTGTTCATTTATTAAAGTTCCTTTGGAAAGTAGGAAAATGATTTCTGAAAAATGAGTTATTTTTTCAAAAACATTTTTCTTTTCAATGTTTGGCTGCACAACAGAATATTGTTTTTGTGTATTTGATTCATTTTTTGTGTGTATTTGAATTATTTTTTAGAAAA